ATATGTCCAATATGTTGGACATATTCCTGTTGGACATATTTCTGTTGGACAAATTCCTCCTACAAAGTCTGTTCCACTAGTATCTTTCACTCATATCTTTCGTAATTATGTTTCACGCCTTTTTCGCACCCGTTTCCTCTCAGCTTATTCTTTCTCGTGTTATTATTCACTATCTTTGTCACGTTGTTCCTAATCATTTCTTGTACCAATTCTTGTACCATTTCTGGTGGTATCAACGGATCTTCTGTCACACATGTAAATATCTCCATTATTATATCAGTCGCGTTCCATAACTTCCATGCTATCTCCGACAGCATCTCTTTAATCTCCCTTGTCATCTCCGTGTCAGTCATCTCCTATGTGTCACTCATGTTCAAGTCTCCTGCGTCACTCATTTCTCCTTCGTCACTCAATACTTCCATCCTCATCTCCCTCACCTCCTCCATTAAGATCTCCCTCATGCTTTTCACCGATGCAGAAACAAATCGGCAGAGTTTTTTTCACCCTGATACCCCTGTTCACCTAGTAGTAAATAGGTACTTGGGAGTTAGACAACCACTGCAGGCTGCTTCCTGGGGATGTGTGTGTGTGTGGGTGTGTTAGTAAGAAGTATAGAAAGAGATATAATAAAGGAAAAAAATTATTAGAAAATTGATTATAAAAATTGATTAGATTGATTAGAAAGGTGGGGTCCAAGAACTAAGAGCTCGATTTTGCAAGCACAAGCAGTAATAGTAAACACACACTCACAGACAAAGTTAGAGAAGATTCAGAGGAATACCAACAGACTAGTCCCAGAGCTGAGAGGTATGAGTCACGAGGAAAAACTGTGGGAATTAAACCTCACGTCGCTGAAAGACAGAAGTTATTAAGGGGGAGAAGTGCTCCTGATGCCTTTTTGCCGATGGTATCAGTCAAGAGTACGCCATCTGTTTCTTCCAGCATTGCGTTCGTATACCAGGAAAGGATACGCAAGATCTTGCGCCTTAGGTCGAGGTCATCGAGATGAATAAGAAAAAAGAGACGACCGCAAGAACATCATTCGTCAAACATCTTCCAGTAACTCGCTACGACAAATGAAGCCTTATTCGAGTCTGAATACAAGCGTTATATTCACCTTTCCTGTGAGTATAACGGAAAAAACCCACCCTTTTCTATTCTTGAGCGCCACTGCTGCCGTTGGAGGCCATCATGCTTCGATGCCTCTGGGTCCAGTCCAAGAAGTCCCCAAGTCTCTCTTCTCCTCTCTGCCTCCTGCTCCTTGTCCCCGACCATTGCCTCCGGATGACAAAATAGGAAGACAGGAGCGACTAAGATTGAAGATATTCATGAGGTTTTATACAGTGAGGGCGGTGTAAATAAGGTTCTGTGAGACATACCGCCGCCGGCTTGTCTACGGCCCGACTGTATCAATCAGCCAGCTGGCAAGATCAAAAATTGGTGCGGCCCCTGGGGAAGTTGGCCTACTGATGAGGCCTGGGCAGCCGCCTCCCTGGGAGAGCCTCTTACCTTATATTGGACTGGAGAGAAAATTAGATTGGATTTGTTTCGTATTGCCTCAAGGGAGATAAGAAATCACCATGTGACTCAGATTCTCGAAGCGGATGCCGTGTTTCAGATCAAATTTGTTTTTCGATCAGCAACCTGTAATTATTTTTTTAAGACGAGTGGGATATTATTAGCATGTATCCCACAGAGACCAGAATGAAAGATGTCGTCCCCACCACACACAGACCAGGACGAATATTGCCGTCCCCAACCACACAGAGACCAGGAATGGGCACTCTAAGACCATAGTAAGCGAGGAGGAGAGATAAACGCTTTCCTCTGCCCACACAGATGAGATATGAGACTCATATCAGCACGACGGAGTCACAAAAGCGGCTGGTCATGTGACTGATGCTTCACTCCACGCTGCCAGAGTCCCCTCAAACGCCAACAGGAAAGCTGGCCACCGGAATCCATATACTTATGAATATCTGATCACGATCACAATGACACCGAGATATACTATATATATATATATATATATATATATATATATATATATATATATATATATATATATATATATATAAACCAAATATACAAGTGTAAAGTGTATATGCTAAATTCGGGGCAGTACAGTCTGGTTCATTTTCGACTCACATTCTGGAATTCCGGGATCGAATCCCGGGCGGGACAGAAGCGGTTAGCGTGTTTCCTGTCACCTAATGTACCTATTCACCTAGCAGTAGATATATATCTACGCAGGATTTACCCCAGCTGTTGTGGGTCGCATCCTAAGCAGGTCAGTAGTTCGTCCATAGGGAACCTCGATGTAAGCCTTAGATGTATATATAAGCTGGCTGCCTGTCCCCCAACTCATTCAATTATTAGACAAAATGAATTATTCAGGTGCATATGTGAGCAACGAGGTAAACTGGAGTATATGTGAACATCGGTATACAGAAGTATATATATGTGAACATCAGAACACCTATAGGACACATTACCCATGACCCTGAGAGGAAAGTTAATATAAACATAGAAAATACATAGCTATAAGATACTATGCATTATTAATACATAGGAATATTCATTCTCTTGTCAATGCAATTCGTATTAGAATATTTTGTGTAAATTATTATCGACATAATTACTTCCACTTTTTCTGTATTTTAAATAATATCATTAACTTAGATTCAAATAACGAGAATGTGTTCGAGTTAACTTAATTAAGCATACCTCCAAATGTGGACACTTCACCAGAACGGACCCTTCACTACAGCGGACACTTCGCCAGAACGGACGTTTCACCACAGTGGATACTTCAGCAATGCCATTGACACAGACCCAGTCATATTAAATCCCTTGTTCCAGCTCTGATAGTTTCATTTTACTGTTTGGCGAGTTGAGTGGCCATTAGCAATTAACGCAGTTAGGAACAAGCGACGCGGTAGTTAACAAGGAACAGGTAATAGTAAAAAACGGCATTGTAGCTAGCAAATAACACTGTATAAAAGAGTAACACAGAAGCAACACGTAACACAAGAGTGTGTTTACAGCGTGGCGAGGGTGTGTTTACAGCGTGGCGCAGAGTGGCGAGCGTGTGTTTACAGCGTGGCCCAGAGTGGCGAGTGTGTGTTTACAGCGTAGCCCAGAGTGGCGAGTGTGTGTTTACAACGTGGCCCAGAGTGGCGAGCGTGTGTTTACAGCGTAGCCCAGAGTGGCGAGCGTGTGTTTACAGCGTGGCCCAGAGTGGCGAGTGTGTGTTTACAGCGTGGCCCAGAATGGCGAGTGTGTGTTTACAACGAGGCGCAGAACTCCCTTATCAGTAACCTTCTTCCTAAGAGAGAGAGAGAAAAAAAAAAACTTTTTCGAAAAATGTTTATCAGTTAATGAATTTCGCATTCATTGCAATTTTCACATAAATCATTTCTGGAATTTGTTTTGCCTAGACTTCGTGTCGTTAGAACCGTCGTTCGTTTTTAACTGGTTTCTAACTAGTTAGACTCACTAGTAAGGCTTAATGCAGGCAATGAGTCACAATAACGTGACTAAAGTATGTGGACCAGACCACATACTAGAAGGTGAAGGGACGACGACGTTTCGGTCCGTCCTGGACCATTCTCAAGTCGATTGAGACTTGAGAATGTGAGAGACATTCTCACAATCGACTTGAGAATGGTCCAGAACGGACCGAAACGTCGTCGTCCCTTCACCTTCTAGTGTGGTCTGGTCAATAAGGCTTAATCTGAGATATGGGAAGGAAACGTAGGTTAACAGGACTCAAATGTCTGCTTCCCTACTTATCTGTGTAGTTGATGCCGTTCAAACAGTAAAAGGTGAAAATGGAATACTTGTGATCTCTCTTATCATGGAAAACGTGTCTTCGCACATCTCTGGGAGGAGTCTGGCTCATGGCCGCTCGTCTGGAACGAGTGTGGCTCATGGCTGCTTGTCCAGAATTAGTATGGCTCATGGCTGCTCGTCCGGAGCGAATGTGGCTCATGGCTGCTCCTTTGGAACGAGTGTGGCTCATGGCCGCTTCTCCACAACGGAATCAGTTTCTGAATTCTTAGTTTCCCAAACATCCACAGCATACGGCATGTACCTTCAGATTAACGTTCAAATGCAATACTTACACATATGAGGCGTCAGAGTAGAGAAAGATTCCTCATATTCCATCCCTTGGGATGCCTCTCATACTTAATGAGTGATACATAGAAAGATAAAGAGACAGCTATAAAGGCAACAGACAAAGAGATAGCGATAAAAATCCATGTTCAGGAACTAACACAAGAAAGCGTTCAAGCGCAGCTGTATGAATATTAGATTCACGTTAAATATACATACAGTGACAAAAATATGAAGAGTAATAGGTGGAATGAATGGATCTGCATTAAAATTGTATTCGAATGGAGAGCGAGGTGAGCCGCTACTCGACACTGATCATAGGCAGCCTCCAGCGACTACTTGAGAATTGGAAATTGGAGAATAATTTGCGGCTTTGATCTCCGATGCCAATAATCCATTTTTGCTTCAAACATTCTTCTCTGGAGGTAAGTTCTAACAGATTAAAAAAAAATGCAAAATTCATTCCTATTTGTAATGAACAAATGTAGAGGGAAACTTATTTCGAATTGCATTATACTAGTGTGTAATATATTAATTATTTATATTATATATTTGTTTTTTATGATATATATATTTCGGTACCACCTGTTGTTGATTTAGTGATGATCCATAGCCTTAGAGAAAAGAATAAAAGGCATTCGAAAGAGTTTCATGCGTGCCTGCATGTGCTCTTGTATCTTGTCATCTCCATATCGTTCTTTTTTCATTAAATGTACATGAAAGAGTAGTTAATAATATGTGTATAATATATTATATATATATATATATATATATATATATATATATATATATATATATATATATATATATATATATATATATATATATATGTGTGTGGATGACGGGAGAAGTTGGTAATACTGAGGAAAACAGCACACCCCATGGCACCACATGAGAGGAAACACCACACCCCACGAGAGGAAACACCACACGCCCCACGAGAGGAAACACCACACCCCCACGAGAGGAAACACCCCACCCCCACGAGAGGAAACACTACACCCCACGAGAGGAAACACCACACCCCCACAAGAGGAAACACCCCACCCCCACGAGAGGAAACACCACACCCCACGAGAGGAAACACCACACCCCCACGAGAGGAAACACCATACCCCCACGAGAGGAAACACCACACCCCACGAGAGGAAACACCACACCCCACGAGAGGAAACACCACACCCCCACGAGAGGAAACACCACACCCCACGAGAGGAAACACCACACCCCCACGAGAGGAAACACCACACCCCACGAGAGGAAACACCACACCCCACGACAAAAAAGAACAGGACGCTCCTCCACCTAACGCGGCGAAATATTTATCTTGGAAATATAACAGTACTTAACTCCGCACTGTAATAGCCGCAAGGTAATATTTACGGCTCCGCCTGTCGGATACACAGAAAGAGGCCGTCTAGTTATATACGTACGATGCCATAAATAATACGAAGAGGGGCTATCCTTTATTGGAGTGGAGATTTAGTAGCGAACAGAGAGGAGTAAATCGTATTTAGACTATCATATAATTATATATATGTATATTATATATACACGTCTTATAATATATAGAACTCCAACCTCGACAACCAAAAAGCAACTCCGTAGTCTCCCGAGACTGCAGGATGCCTACTACTACTTCTATATTATATATTATATTTAATGACGTTTTCATTTGTGTCGAGAAGTGTACTGTGAAAATTAAATATTTGTGAATTGGTATTTTCTTTATAGGTTTCATTTGTAACATTGGTTTCGTTAATGAAGAAAAACACACTTATTAGTTGAGAGGACGGGTTGTACCAGATGCGATTGAGTCTAGTCAACCCATCAAACCTATCGACGTCAAAGGTCATTGGTCCGAGGAAGTGTTATTACGGTGCTAATTTAAGTAAAGGCCTTTGAACTTTAACGTTCTTGTCGATTGCGTCAAAAGTGAAGAGTATGAGATGTGAGGACAAGTTATTAAGCCACCACCCTTAAGTCTGTTCATATTTAATCCCACTTAGTCAATCTTGTTATGTAGTTCTACTTATTCAAACTCCGGGCTTCTTCAGTTTCCATCACTTTCTGGTATTCAAGCCAAATACTACTAAAAATCCTCCAACTCCTTATTTCTTTCCCGCCCAATCTCTTGAACTGGACGGTACAACGACGGTATCGCTTCATGAAGGTTGGCGTTCAATCCCCGACCGTCCGAGAGGTTTGGCACCATTCCTTCCACCCATCCCATTGCAAATTTTTATCCTGACCCCCTTTCAAGTGCTTTATAGTCGTAATGGCTTGGCGGTTTCTCGTAATAGTTCCTTTCCCCTTCCTTCCTTCTTTTCCTCTTCTTGATCATCACCAACTTATTCCTACTTATTTCCATACCTCCTATCTTACCTTGCTTTATTTCTGTTCCCAAACCCACTTTTATGAAAAGGCGTTAACAAGTTAGCATACGGAAATTCCCTTATTTACTTCGAATCTTACCAGGTTTACTCTTAAAATTAATGTCTCCAGTTCTTCTCATATTTTAAATATTAACCAGTTTTGAATCTCTCTTACTTTAAATAATTTTGTCTCAAATGCTTTTTTCCCTTAAAAATTAACCACATTCTAATCTTTCTAAAGGCCAAAATGGAACGTTTTTTAATCTAATTCTTAAAACTAATCAAAGATTGCAATCCCATAAGCCCGTGACTGATATACAATCAACTCCATAAGATTTATAAACAGGTACGTTGGAACCTTATTTGGCCAAGTTATTTTCAAGTACAAGTACACTGGAGTTGCAGCCATATTGTCCAAGGTATACAATGGACTACAGAAAACTAATGAGACGATTCTAGCTGACTTAACTCACTCCCTCAATTACGAAAGCAATTAAGAAAGTGAATAACCTCTCGCCGTCCTGGGAAAGGGTCGGCTTAGCCCGTTTAGTGGAAAAAAAAAATCCTCGGTGTTAACATTTTCGCAGCCACCTCATTTATCCATGTTGGTGTTTATTTAATGCGCACATACATGTGTGTGAGTATTCTTTTCTTCCTTTATTTGGACGAAATTTAGTGATGTGTGTAAAATATGGACAACTGGTGGATGTTTTATCCAGAGATGCCATTGTATTTAGCTTTATATCAGGTAAAGACTTTCCCAATTACTCTTTTAATTATTATCTAATTCTACTGTTTTGCTGGATCACTCATTAAAGAAAATAAAAATATACGTCATTAATACATATACTAAGTTGTTTCAGGGTATTAAATTCGAATCTGTTAGTATTGAGTGGACTCCAAATAAATTTGCGTAAATATTTCGTCAGCTTTCATTTCTTTTGTTAGCTTTTCTCGGGGATTAAAAAGAGCAGTTAAAGCCTGGTTATGTGCATACTCCCCCACACCTGTACGACCAGCAGGTAATGAACAAAAAAATGAAACTAGAAACTCTAGTAAATCCCACAAAAATGTGAAATTTATGGTGTGGGATGGTTACAGAAATTACAGAGATGATACGTATGCATAAATTGGTTATTATTATCGTTTTTGTTTTATGAATATGTTAACAGAAGCACTAGTTTTAAATTCTCTACTAAATATAAGTGACACACTAAACTCTGATTTAGATATAAGCTCGTATTCTGAATCAATAATTATTAACATATACACACAAGCAACGCTTATCATTAACAAAGGGATACTAACATGAACATTCGTTTGATCAATCAATAAGAAGTAAAATATGTGAATACTGTGCAACTTTCAGTCATGATAAATTCTAGCAAGTTAAGCACAATATATAGTTTCTATCTCGCTCTTTATTACATTTTTATTTAATTACTTTACAAATGATTTAATAAACAAATATCCATTAATAAAGCAACTCCTTGGTCACTAAATACCTGAAATAATCACTCTTGTTCAGAAGTAGGAGTAGTAATGACAGGCTTTTTATGTATAATAAAATATAATACATATAATTTTATATTAATTTGATGTAAATGAGGGAATTATACCAAATATTTTTGTTATAATCTGAGGGAACTCAAGGTATATCGAACAAGCAAATGCACATCAAAATGTTTCATTCACTCACCAGTAATCATATTTTCATATTTCATATTTTCTCCAGTTCAATTTCGCCGTCAATGATACCTGCTTGATGGGATTCTGGGAGTTCTTCTTCTCCCCAAGACTGGCCCAAGGCCAGGCTTGACTAAAATGTACTTGCGACCTTGCCAGGATTCGAACCTGGAATCTTCTGATCCGTAGTCAGACGCGTTATCCGTTGCGCCACAAGGCCGTTGTGGAAACTGAATGATAGTTTATAAGATAGTTATCACTATCTTATCTTAATCTCATTCCTCTTTCCTCGAGAAAGTTCAGTGTCTCGTATGATCTCGACGAACGTCTCTGTACATGAATCACATTCATAGTGTTAATCTCTGGTCGTGAGATCCTGAATGCAACTGGCTCCTGTCACTGTGCTGACAGATAGTTGGGCAGACATCTTCATCTGATAGGTAGATAGATAGATAAATAGAAGATAGATAGATAGATGGATAGCTAGATGGGTACCTGAATGAATAGGTAAATAGGTGGTTAAATAGATGGATGGATAGCCGGACAGACTGACTATATATATATATATATATATATATATATATATATATATATATATATATATATATATATATATATATATATATATATATATATATATATATATATATATATATATATACGTGTGTGTGTGTGTGTTAAATGTAGAAATTTAAATATAACAAATATAACAACTAAAATATGTACAAGACTAAAATATTTAAGCTGCATTCCAAGAGATTGGAGGAATTTCTCTCCAATTACTGGGAGGAAATTGTGATAAATCCACTTAAACTCACTAGAACCCATAAACCCTGTAGGCGCGATGGTTCCAATAGGTCTGGCGGCCCCGGCTCAAGAGGGCAGGTCTGCTAGTCAGGTCTTACGGTCTCTGGTCTGGCTGTCAAGGCTGACAGACAACTACACATTTAACCCAGGGGGGGAACACTACCCCATAGTAACATTATAGCATTATAGTTACTATTCATCATATATTGTTTCCTGTAATTTGCTTTTCGTTATACATCACAAACAATTCATTGCCCAGTGCCAATATCACTGCTAATGGTATTAACCTTATTAATCATCTTTAACCATTCTATATTTAAGTTTCAATTTGATGTCAATAAATGCCAATATTATATAAGTATAATGTGACTTCAAGCCTTTAATTCCAAGTAACTCCAGCGTTTGATTTACTCAAGTCAGCCAAGGGGCTTAATCAGTCATTTGTGTCCGCGAAGCTTATTCACTCACGTCGATGAGGAGGGACATCAGCCAATCAGTGACGTCAAAATCACCTGGCTGATTGGGCGGGCGTGTCAGTCAGCCAATTAGCGAGTAAGTCTGCATGTCAATATGGGCTGATGAATTGTCTCTGTGTTTGAGGAATTCATTTTGGGAGGCAGGTCTAACTGGTTGCTGTGTGTGTACATGTGTGTGTGTGTGTGTGTGTGTGTGTGTGTGTGTGTGTGTGTGTGTGTGTGTCTGTGTGTGCGTGCGTGCGTGCGAAGGTGTTGGATCGTCGAGTGACTTGGATGGGTTTAGCCAAGAGGAAAACTCGAGTCAACTTCTGGTATTAATTAATTAAGCAGTAGCCGAAGTTCGAAACCCAATAATGCTTGTATAAGTTTGGCACCCTTGAAGAGTATGAGGTGTTGCTTCTTTGACGCTGAACTCGCCAAAGAAGATAAATATTAGGAGACATTGTATAGAATCTGCAGGCATCAAATAAGAAAATACCATCAGGCTGCTCCTCCTGCAAAACAAATATACCGTAGTGTGTGTGTGTGTGTGTGTGTGTGTGTGTGTGTGTGTGTGTGTGTGTGTGTGTGTGTGTGTGTGTGTATGTGTGTGTGCGTGTGTGTGTGTGTGTGTGTGTGTAATTTACCTTAAATTGAAACCGAAGGAAGAAGTAACCACTGTAAGCTAAGAAAGGTGAGGTGGGAGATGCAGTGCCCATTAAAACAGTCTGTCAAGGATATTCGAAGATTAGATGATCTGTCAAGTACACCGATAGATGAAATAGACGATCCAATACAACTTTGGAATAAGCCACGTTTAATCTCGTCAAAACATTAATAGGACTGGTAATCGACGCATCTTTCAAACCCAACAAAAATCAATACAATAGTATCCGAACAGATGGGTTTTAACCAGGGTAACTTGATTTTTTAAATTATTAAAAAAAAAGCGAGTTTGCAAGTTACTTAGCAAAGGAACTCTAGAGGATAATTGCCTCGTTAAAGGTGCGAGATATTCTCGACGAG